ATAAAAAAAAAAAAAAAAAAAAAAAAAAAACACATTAGTAAAAAGAACACCAACACAAAATGCAAACTTGTCGATTTATCGATACCTATTATGGCGGGAACTTTCGATTTATCGATACCTTTTATGGCGGGAACTTGCATGAGGCTACGAATAACACATCGATTCTTAACGTAGTTTTGAACTCTTGGTCCTTGAAATGATTCATCCTCTACGAATCGCTGAAGTAGCACTTGAAAAAGCTGAAAGTCGGAGGCGACTATGTTGTACTGATGAGAGCCTCGAGCGTCGTCGTTTTGGAATAAGTCTTGGATTTTCCTGTGCTGCCAATGAAGGATTTCCCAAGACAGGCAAACTTGTCCTACATACACCAATTCAAAGTCGTCTTGCAACTTTCCAGTGTATTTAAGAATTGAGTCACCTTCTTTTCGTAGTTTGCGTGGTAGTAAGCTCTTAATAATTGGAACAGTAGGTTTTTGATTTGGTATTGATTTGAATTGGTCTTTCAGCTGCAGAAAACCTGATCAAAGAAAAAAAATAATTATTTCTATTTATTGTTTTTGTACTTAACTTGATCATAGCAATAGATACGGTTTTGATATCTTCATTTAATAAGGTAGTGAGAGCCAAATTGATTATAGCACATATAACTTTCCTTTTTCTCCAGGAGAATCTTTCCATTAAATAATCTTCAAAAGAAGGGACACGAAATAGTGCATTACCTACGTCGATTATACACAACTTTCTGATTTGTTAATGCAACTTAGAGCAAGGAAAGATAAAAACTTCACTTTAAAAAAAAAAAAAAAAAAAAAAAAAAAAAAACCTAGTTTGGAAAGCTAAAAAAACATTGATGCTTCAATGTAAATGAGAAAAATTAACTTACCAATTGCATGCATGGTCTGGTTATTCAAGATGTCAAGTTTCCTCATCTTTTCTGCATACATTCTGTACACTTTCTGGATCTCTTCAATCCGATCTTTGTAACCAAACTTCAACTCAATCTTCATGGGCTTCAAATTCACACGATGATCATCTTCTTTCTTCGGCGATTCCAAATCCGATTCCTCTTCGAAAATGGTGGGCAGTCCTCCAGTTCTAGCATTCCTCAGTTCCCATTTGAGCTGTTCTATTATATCCTCATGTTCCCAAGCAAACTCCAGCTTCTTACCTTCACAATTCACGCTCTCTTCTTTTTCTTTTTCTTCATATTGGTCCTCAAATTTTACAGAACATTTTTCCGCTGAGAAAGATTTCGGACTTTTTGCATCACGGGGTTCTAATTCTATGTATTCCTCCTCATCATCAAAATCTGTGTGTTCTTTTGAAAGAAATCCCTCAACATTCCCTAATTTCTTCTCATTTTCTTCAATGGCCTGAATGTTGTTTACAGGCTTAAAGTCTTCAAATTCATAATTGATATTGGAATGAATAATAAACGTTTCTTCATCACTTGATGACACATCACCTGAAATATTATTAGGTACTGGTTTTGCATCAGAAGAAGGTGAGGAGTGAGTTTCCGAAAATGATTCGATATCTTTGGAGAAATCATGATCCATTTCAGAAAGCTCGGTTTCAGGAGAATTTTCGTCTTCTCCTCCTTTGGCCAAGACTTCTTTAATACTCGAAGTTTCGGTTTTGGATAATTCCTTCTCTTGTTCTTCTTGTTGTTTGTCTAAGTCTTCTTCAATACTCAAAGTTTCGGTTTTGGATAATTCCTTCTGTTGCTCTTCTTCTTCTTCTTGTTTCTCTAAGACTTCTTTGATACTCGAAGTTTCAATTTCGGGTAATTCCTTCACTAGTTTCACATCCTCTGATTCTTCAACACCAACAGCTTCCTCTGCTTCTGAATTTGAAGAGAGAAAATCCTCCTCGGAAGAGAATTGGTTTTTGGGAATTTGGTAATCAGGAAAAATAGTACTAAACTCGTTGGAGCCCAAGTAGAGTTCTTGAACGGTGAAGCTCAGAGCTTTAGGCTCTTCCAAGAAGCCATTGATGTCCATTGAAGAAAAGAACTCATACTTGTTTGTTGTGTTTGTACCTGAGGAACTCTCCAAAACATCACAATCCTTACTAACTTCTTCGCTTTCATCATGATCATCTTTTGACCTGTTCTGGACATGAAAATCAACCTCTTTTTCTCCGAACACATCAATATCTGCACACTTAAGATCACCCTTGTTCTTCTCATCATTTGCCTCCAATCTGAAACAAAAATTAAGCCTAAATCACCACCAAAGAGAAGAAAAATGACCCAAATAACAGAAACAGTTAACAAACATACCTGAAAAGATATCTAGCAATGAAACCAAAAACAAAATATAAATAATCCCAAACAAAAACCCAGATGGAACCAACAACCCCAACCATATTTCCGTACGCAACCCTGTTTAAGAGACGCTTATGAAGCAAATCCAAATGGGTTTTGATGACGAGAAAGTTTCTGGTGCCCATCAATTCAATCAACTTCTGGGGTTAATTCTTTCTACTTCTTTCCTTTCTCAATCCTAAGCAAAGTTGTATTAGAATTTCTCAATCGAAATTCATTGGGGAAAATTGACGCTCCACTTGTGGACAGCGAAATTTGTGGTGTGATGCTGCGAGATTGAGGGAGGTGATTTAGCACAAAAGAATAATATGGTGCAACCAAAGAGAAGAAACAAAGAAAGCTACGTGTGACTGTCCGTGAAGAATATATATATGTGTGTGCGCGTGCATATATATATATATATATATTTAGTACAGGAATTATAAGATGAAAAAGAAAAGTTAAAAATTTTTTTGGGTTTTGGGTCTCTCTTGGATTTCTCAACGCAACAGTGTACTGACTACTGAGAAAGAGAAAATTCTGTTTTCTGGTTGTGGACGAATATTCATATTCTTTTTTCTAAACGTTTGAAAGATATCTAAGAGACCGACACGTTACAGGAGTGAAGTTTGGGAGAGTCAAAAACGAATATCGTTGAAAGCTTCAAGCTGACGATTGCATTAAATTAGAAATAGAAATAAATAAAAAGAGAAAACAAAAGAAAAGGCCTTTTCTATAGGATCGAATTCAGTGTTCACACTTTTTATACTCTTTTTTTCTTTTTTTTTTGGCCTTTTGTCATTTGAGGATTTGGGAATAGCGTTTGTTGTACTTTCTCAGAAACGGACAGTTACGTAATTAAATTCTAAACTATTATATTTAGAACAGTTTTATTTTACCGGTTTTGACAGTTAACAATCTAGGAACGCCAAATGTTCTTTTATTTTAAGAGACACTTTTCTTTTTTTGGGCGGAAGAGTTGTCTTATAACTCGGGAACTTTTTAATGAGTCATGTTTTTCTTTTGTTTTTAAGATGCGTTTGCAAGTCTTTTCCGTCGGTTTCAGTGTTTCCCTCGGACTAGAACTCTTCTTCCTCTTTCTCTCTTATTTCTTTCCCTTTTTTTGTTGGCTTAAATAACTCTCTCTTTTTACTTTGGTATTTTTATCTATTTTAATAACATTGCCGAGTAGGATAGAATTTAATGAGTGTCACCCTAAATCATCATCATCGATACAAATGTTAATATTAATTATATATTTAATACTAAAAAATATATAATACATGTTATTTTTATTTATACTTTAATGCATAATGTTATTTAAAATATTGAGTTTTGAAAGTTGTAAAAATAAATTTTAGATTTTAAATTAATTTGAAAAAATAAAAGTTGTAATGATTAATGAAAAATAGCTATATCAACTAATAAAAATTAAGTGTTAAATTTGGTAAATGCTATAATAAATTTACCGCAACAAATAACAATGCATTAGAAAGTATTTTTTCACTCAAATACTAAATTTACATTTTACACATAAATTATTATGTTACATTGGGGATGCTCTAACATAATAATAAAAAATTATGTCAAATTATTTCTCTCTTCCTTTTTGCAAAAAAAAAAAAGTTCACGTCATGATCACCACTTAAAAAGTTGGATATCTTTATTTTTCGAGAAATTAATGGTATAAAGTAAAAGTTGGTAGACTAGTTCTTCGGGAGGTTTTATTATGTTCATGGCATTTGATAGAAATATCTGCAAGTACCAAATCTACAATGCAAGTATTGAATGATTAAATAAGTAGATATGTTAAGGCTACACAGGCAACAAATCATGAGAATCTAAGATCTCGTTCATTTCATCAATTCGAGTTTTATTACAGTAAAAAACTCTCAGAAACAGCCACATTTAACTTTTTTGCTACAGTAAAAGGCTCTCACATAAAGTCACATCTCAACTCGAATTAAAAACTCGAATCAGCGAATTAAATTGACTGTACGTGCATTTGTCTAGACATGAATGCATGGGAATGGGCTTCATCAGCATGGACCATGGTCCACTGAACGTACTTCCTCTATCTCCGGCAAATGAGAAAAAAAAAAAAACAATAGAGAGAGAGAACTTTATCAAACTGAACTTGGAGTGATTAAACGGAAAACTTGTACCATTAGATGTTGAACAAATTATTAGTAATAATTACATAAAATTTATCAATTTTCAAGTTTTCCGTAAAGAAATAGAGTGAATAGGAAGAAGGTCATAAATAAATCACAATTTAAGTTTTTTTTACACCTTTTCTATTATAATTTTTTTCTCTCACATAAATTTACTTTTAAACTAAAGTTTTCAACTCAAATTAGCGAAACAAATGAGACCAAAATTGTGAAGGGCATAAAGATTATATTTTCTAGCAAATAATTTTAGATTTACACAATTTTCACGTATAAAATTGAATTAAAAGTTACGCAATTTTATAATTAAATCTGTGTATAGGAAACCAAAGAAGGGAGTTAAAGGGCCATATATTCCTTAAATTTGAATGAGATTTTGCATATATTACGAGCTTAAAGACGATAATTGATGTGTTATAACGAGTTTAGCATGATAATAACTTCAACCTCAAAACGCGTGATATCCAATATTGCTTTTCAGATGACAAGCTTTCTTGCCTGGCCAACCGTACTGAATAAAATAAAACAATATAATATGAAAAGGTTCCACGTATAAAAATAAAAAGGCATGGCTGAGGTTGTGGGAGTGGGAGAAATGGACCTTTTACTTGTATGGGGAGACAAGGAATAAGACAACAAATGAAAATCAGAACCAATTGTCAATAATATTTTCCTAGAAAGATACAAATTTTGTTTACTTTAATTTGATGCCGAGTGAGAATCACAATGTTCTTAATTTCTCCATAAAATTATGATCCCATAAACTGAGGCCACTTGGGGTTTTCTTTCTTAATTCAATTACCATATGATTTCATGCCGTCCTCCGAATTTTCCTCAGCTAAAATGGATGGTTTTGGCCGTCGGTGCAGGTCATTATCAGTACCATTAGGACATCACCATAAGATAATAATCACAATCAACTTTGGAAAATTACAAGTTTTGGAGGGCTTGATGTTGATGTGAAAATTTTCTTTACATTTGGGTCATATTTGTCTCGTTCATTTTCTTACGCCTAAAAATGAGGGTATCGATTAGATTTTTTTATTTTTTTTTATGAAAGTGATTTCTACCTATATATAATATTTCAAAACAAAGATATTGACCCTAATGTGTGGTGTCCTTTTTCCCCAGACAATCACCCTAGACCTTCAATACGGCATTTGGAAAAGCAATTGCTACCATTGGATCACTAGTGCACCTCAACAAAAACAGACAAAGAATCAATAGATTCGTCGTTGACCAATTTTAGGGAAACTAGTGTTAGGCGCAGAAAAAGAGTAGAATTTGTTATATCAAAAAGAAAATGAGGATTTTTCACGTTATTTCAGTGAAATTAGAATACCATTTGAAATTCATTTTAAAATAATTATATTTTTTATATGAAAATGAAAATAAAAATATTTTTAATATTAGATATAAATTATTTTTAAAAATACATTTATTAATTTTATCAAGAGATTATTTTCAGTATAAAAAAACTCATTAATATATCTATCTCTTTCTCTCTGCCCGAGAGAGGAGAAAATGAAAATAAAAAATGAAAAATAACTAAAAGTCATTTTTCATTTCTCTCTCATTTTACACTAAATAAAAAAATCATTTTCATTTTCATTTTTTGTTTTTATTGCACCAAACACCGTTTTAAAAACGTTTTCATTTTTACTTCTTGAAAAACGTGAAAAATAAAAACGGTATCAATTCTAAATACGACAAAAGTTTTGCTTATTAAACAGTTTGAGAATTAATGGTGTCAATTACTTCTTTTCTTATATTATTATTATTTTTATATAAAAAGTTCTTCTCAAACGATTTAGAATGAGGGAGTTAGGTGGTAGAGCATGTATAAAAGGATACTCCACCAATAATATCCAGTTTTCAACTAAAAATCATATTAAAAAAACGTGTTCTATCTAGGATATAAGTTTATCATACCCTACCAAAAAATTCTCCAAAATTAAATATTATGGATAAAATTTCCAAATTCTCTCCTTAAAGCAAGTTTAAGGCCTATTAGTGCGTTTCGAAATATGTTTTCTTAGGCATATGTAATAAACATCAACTAAGTTCTTATTAATCAAATATGCTCTTTTTGTGAAGTTTGGTAATTTGTTGTTGACGAAGATGCAAAAAGAGATTCTTTATTATTATTGATTTATTTCGTAGGATTTCCACCAAACTTTTATAGTTTAAGACGGAATTTTGGAAAACAAAGGGCAAATAGTTATTGAGTTTTGGAGAGGTCAGTCTCCCATTTCTCATACGTGGGAAAAGACTCGGCTTTATTGCTTGAAAAACGACATTAAACAAAAGAAAATGCTTTTCTGAAAGGGAAAAGGAAATAAGAAAAACATTAGACAAAAGAAAAAAAAAAACATGCATTTCACATATAAAAAGCCACGCGTAACACAAAAATAAGATGTGGTTGTTGTCAGAATATTCAAGAATTACACATGCATTTATTCAAAAAAAATAAAATAACACATGCATGTCACGGAACCTTAAAAAAAAAAAAAAAAAAAAAAAAACCATGAATGTCACCATATTGTATCTTTTTTTTTTTTTTTTTTAGTGACCCAACATATTGTATCTTTGATTGTTGCATAATTATCCCGTACCATGTTGGAAAAAAAATGAAAGAGAAAGACTAATCGAATGGTTTGGTGTGGACCAAAGTGTTGGCTTTTGTCAAGTGATCCCCACGTACGACATGAAATCAAATAAAGATAACATAAAGGAAATGAAACACAATAAAAAGATTAGAAAAATTTTAAAATACTAATAAAAAAAAGTAGAAATATCACAATGTCGTCGGTCCATAAAATATGGCAATCAATCTCTTAACTGGAGATTATATTAATTTGAACTAACAAATTAGCATACAATACCAAGCATGTCAACCTTCAGCTTTCTAATGGTTTCTCTTTTAAGTGAATAAATCTAATTTTTCTTTGTTTTGATATTTCGTTAGGAAAGATTTTTTTTTTAATCCAACTACGCAAAGGGTTAGAATACTTCCTCATAAGGAAGGTAGGGGTCATAAAATATTATGATCACTACCCTGTATCCAAACGGGAACATCCTAACTGAAAATAAATAAACATGTGTGGATTTATTATTTGTTAATCTACTCATCAAAATAAATTGTTGAGGAATGTGCTAAAAGCCTAAAATGGAACCAAAAAAAAAAAGGGAGAAATAAATTT